GATATTTAAAAAAATGCATTCATCTCATTTAGCTGTTTGTGCACACCATTCATCTCATCTAATTGTTAGTGCATGCCCACTAGCACAGATTTACTCTGATTAGGAGAGTCTAGTGAATCATCTAGTGAGTCCAGCCTGTCAGGTAACACAGATCCCGAACTCCTTAAGAAATTCGCTGAACTAGCAGCACAAATTGATGAAACCTACGAAAGATTAGTGAGGCTAAAAAAATGTGGATTACAACTCCGCCGCCACAAGGTCAAGGCTATGGATACCCACGCAAGGCCATGGATACATAGTTCATCGACCCCCACCTCAACCCGTGCCTGATCCACCAACCTTTGATGGTAGGCTCGACTCAGAAACTTTCTTTGACTGGCTGAAGAGCATGGATCTCTACTTCGATTGGTACGCCCTGGCGGAATCCCAAAAAGTCAAGTTTGCCACAATGAAGCTCACCGGACCCGCTTGCCAATATTAGTCCAACTTCGAAATGATAAGGCATATTAGAGGTGAGTTATCAATTTTTACTTGGCGAGAAATGGCCGACGAACTAAAACGGAAATATCTCCCGCCATCGTTTATTTATAGATTGCTAGATAAGTGGCATTGTCTTACTCAGGAAACCAAATATGCAAAAGAGTACGTTGCTCAATTTGATGAATTGTTTACTCGATGCAGCACCATTGAACCAAAGGCACCAACGAAAGTCTTATCAAAATTTAGAGCTGGATTAAGAAGCGACCTCCAAACCAAACTCTTTGCTAGAGGAGTAAACACCATTGAGAGAGCTTATGCCTTAGTTCAAGAGTTAGATGAAGCCAAATTCCACCAATCTCATAGGGCTCAGGATTGTCAAACTCATTCCTCCCAGTTTTCCTGTGCCAATACCTCTAGTCAGCCTCTGAGTCAATCTAACCCTAGTTCTTCCCGGTCTAGAGTCGATCCCAAGGGCCAGAAGTCAGAAAGATCTCTCTCCAAACTTAGCCCAATAATACAATGTTACAATTGTCAACGATATGGGCACGTTGCATCCGTCTGTACAACTCCGTTCAGAGTTAGAATTAATAAGTCGCCTATAACGAAATCAAAATCTATTATTGAGGAAACTGTTACCCAGGCCGTAAATTTGACAGAATCTAACTCTGATAAGAAAATCCATGGTAGTATAATCGAAGAACCATTCATTTCTGTACCTTCTGAAACTACCCCAACAATTGTGGAGTTAACTGAAGTTTCATGCAATGACAACACTCTGGTTATTCCCCAAGCTACCCCTTTGATCACGGAGTCCACTGATGTTATTCCTGAAGTTGTTCTTGAAATCGAAACTCCAACTCCTTCTGAACTAACTCTAGTGATTGAAAACACTGTTGATGTTCCCCACGGAGTCCTCCCGGACCAACATGACCCCCAACTCGTTCCTGATGTGGGTCCTAAAGCGATTCAATCAGATATCTGTATGGAAGTTGAATACCAAACTGAGCCTAGTGAAATAACTACCATATTAGATGTCAAACCCACATGCATTGTCCCAACAATCACTCCCACATATATTGATCCATTTTGGGAGAAAATATTGATTAGGGATACAAGCTGTAGCACGAGTGTTTTCATTTCCTTTTTCTCTCATGCTAAGTGCACCAAAACATTCATCTTTCCTGCATGTGTCTGCATGTTCTTCACTATCATTGTTAGGACTAGAAATTTGTTATGCACATCAATGAATGAACACCAAATTATTCCATTTGATAGAGGACGTTGTGCATATTGAACACTTCATTGAGTTTACATCTGTCATTGATCACATTGTTTGAGTCTGTATTTCATCAGGAACAATTGAGTTGATTTATATTTTTTTTTTTTGCATTGATCATATAATGGGGAGTCAGTGATCTAATTTGAATAAATACATTGTTAACTGAAATGAATGATATGGAGTCAGGACCTAATTTAAAACTGTTAATGCTGATATTTTAGATGGTTTGAACTTATCCAAAACAGTTTCTTTATAGCTGTTTAAGATTTGACATGTTATTTATGAGCTTTTCCAACTCTTGAACTAATTAATAGCAACATTTATATTATTAATTTGGCCATAGTTCTATTCTCAATATTGATTGACTAAGCAGTTCATAATATTATTGACAGTCCACTGATATAAGCATGACCCTAGCCTATTGTTTCTGAGAGTTGTTTCACTTTACCCCCACTTCTATATATTCACCCATGCAGTAGTGAATTTTGATAATATTTTAGATGGTGAATTTACAATGCAATCTAACTAATGATTTGAGATGCAGGAAAGTATATGATGACAGATTAAGACGTAGACAGACTATATTGAAGATTACAAACTTCTGTAGCTAACTCGACGGAGTCGAGTTTTCTCCCACCCGGGGAGAATGATGAGGACAAGAATGACATTTCTATTTTTGTATTTGAATTTTAATAATTGTGAGAGATTTGAGGGATTTTCTATTTTGGTAGGATTTAATTTTCGAATTTTGAATCTTTTTGAAATTTGAATTTTGATCAAATTTAGTAGTTGAGTGATTTGAGGGAATTGAAAAATCTGTAATTTGGTTTTCTATTTAAACACTATTTGTAATCAGATTTGATAATGATGAATGAAATGAAAAATGGCATTGCTTAATTTGGTGTGAAACCAAAGGGTGTGAAACCCTAGGTAGTTTTATTTTTCTGTATTTTTCTCAACGTTAATTTTCCAGCCAAAAAAAAACCCTGTTCATCTCCTTCAACATCCGCTCCCTCTGTTCACAAATCGCAAAACCCAACCCTCCTCCTCCCCGAACAGTCCCATCTCCACCAACTTCATCTTCTTCCCGAGATCACCAACCACCGCTCACCTATCAACCGCAGCCGCACCACCCCCTCAGCCCCTCTCCATCACCGCCCTCATCACAACCACCATCGGCCTCCCACCAGATCCGACCTGCCTCTTCTTCAACAGCCTCAACCACCACCAAGCTCCCCAACCACCAGATCCTGTCGCCCTCCTCCATCTCGAGCTCACAACGCCAACCCGAGCCCCGATCTCCTCCGCCATTCATCCTCAAGCGTTGTTTGGCCTCTTGTCTCCTCAATTCGAAGCTCACACCGACAAGTCCTCGGGTCCGATTCTTTTAAATCAGATCCGTACTGTTCATTTGGATTTGATTTCAGTTTGGACCCGACCCGTACAGTAGCAGACCCACTAAGAGTTCATGCTGGATTCCAAGTTGGTTCAGATCCATTTGGGAGTTAAATTCGAGCCTGATTCGAGTTCGCCTCGTTTGTTAGTCTTCTGATACATTACTTACTTTTCTGCTAATTTCATTTTATTAAATAATTGCATGCGTATTAAATCTCTAAACTATTATCATATATTCACTGTTTAAATTATTTTGTGAGTTGAGATAACTGAATATGTGACTGTTGAAAAATCGATATTGATCTTAGAACTTGCGAAATGATATTTAATATTGTGATTAAAATATTTGAGATTGAATTGTTCATGAGTATCGTTGAAAAATATTATTAAATCCAATTGTCGTATTAACTGCTTTAATTAATTTCCTACCGAATATCATGATTTTTTTGGCGAAACGGTGCTTTGTTCAAATTGAATCGCTGATTCTGATAGACCCTCTACCCCGTTTCGCATCAGTTTATCCTCCAGAACTTAAAACCAACACTATCCATTATAAATTAGCTCTTACCACAGCGTCTGACTCCTTCTCCAGCAGTGATTGCATTTTTTGTTTCTCCGCTATCTTCTTGCATTGTGGCTGCTCTTTTCTGGCTTGAGTTTCCTGACTAGAATAGAAAAAGGTGTGCCACACTAGATGCACTCTTCTAAGGCACAGCATATTCTTCATTAAAGATCAACGCATTTCGTGCTATCCATAAACACCAACAAATAGTAGGAAAATAACAGATCAGAGACTCTTTTAAGTTTTGAACTCTATATGAAACTGCCATTGGCCAATCGAACCCCTTCAGAACTATCAGGCCATTGAACTGCAAAAAAAAAAAAAAAAAAAAAAAAAAGGGAAACAAGTGATTGTCTGTCTCCATAGGTGAACTGAAAAATGGACGTACAGGATTCCGCTCCAGCTTTTCTCGGTCAAGTTTTCTCTAGCCTGAAGTCAATTAAGAGCCTTTTTTGAAAATCTGGACCCAATAAAGAATCTAAGCTCTTGGTACGTCTACACAATAACTTAATACGATATATATGGTTCTGGCCCTCCCTAGCCCATTGTAGACCAAACCTATGGTTCCAAGTTCCCTTTTTTTAATTTGAAACGCATAAAAATGCTTTTCTTAGGTATAGGGAAGATGGCGATTGTTGGCTTGGTATTATAAATCTGAGAGCAAGGATATAGAGATCTAATATCTTTTGGTTCTATTATTGGACCCTCTATAAAAAACTAAAAACATACTTTTCTTTCTTAGATATAGCGACGGTTGAACTCATATATACACATGTATGGGTGTTACAGGAGGTTGAGGTTCGGAATAGATAACATATGCTAAGTTTGTGTCAAAATAATAAATTAACTTCCTTAATTAGTACATATATCCATATGCTAAGTTATGGAATAGTTATTAATTAAATCAGTTGTCATTCACTTAAATATTCATTTTCGTACTAATTAATTAAATGATCATCAAAATTAAATCAGGTAGGTTTTCGTGTACGTTTGGTAAGTAAGTTGAATTTATGATCATTCATATATTCACTTGACATGCGCAAATATAAGTGGATATATGAGCCCGTGCATATATTTGAAAGAAGACCCGTACATTCCGGTGAGCAGCGGAGAGAGCAGGTATGCAAGCCATTAATTAGAGCAGGTATCCAATAATGCTGAGGCAAATATATATATATACTATAATTAACATCAACATGAATTTTAAAATGAATTCTTGCTCATGCCATTTCCGGCCCTATATAAACCCCAAAACTCTCTATCATTTTCTCCTCCTTATGGCTTCTCCTCTTACTCTAACAATGATGAAATTCTCCATCCCAATTATCTTCCTCTTGTTCGCCTCTAGCTGCTTCAGCTTCTCGTACTCTACGGAGCAATATACTTCGATATTTAGCTTTGGGAACTCGCTTGCTGACACTGGGAACTTCCTCATCACTGCGGCCCAAGCATTTCCTATGGTCGCCAGGCTTCCTTACGGAATTACCTATTTTAAGCGCCCTACTGGCCGTTTCTGCGACGGTCGTCTAGTTGTGGATTTCGTAGGTATGCACCTGTGTTCTCGTGTTTGTTTGTGAGAATAGGCTACCTGAAGGAAAATGTCCAGATTGACATTAGAGTATGAAAGGAGGACGATTTGTCGCTTATGCGGCACGCATAAAGATCACGGCACCCCAAATCATCAATACGTTAAAGTTATAGTTAATGGTTGTGTTACATCAACAATATACCAGTCAATACCATTAAATGACACATCGACCACCCCCTCTACCCATAATATTATTTTCTAAGTGAAAAGTTAGGATATTTAATTGTAACCTGTCTGCATATATATAGTGTACAATTTTCATGGATTAGCAAGTAATAGACTCTTTCATGTTAAGGTCGTGAAGTTGAATTAAACTGGTTCACCGCTTGGATAAGAGTTATTTTAATTCTTATTACTATGATGGTTTGTAATGTGAGAGAGAACTACTTTCTCAAAAAAAAAAAATATTAACTCTGTCTAAGTATGGGAATAAGTAAGGTCTCGTTTTGAGAGGTAAACTCTTTTTAATCCTTCTTGTACAGTTGTTTTAAGCTTTTTATGCTTTTTATAATTGATAAGCTTTCAGTCAACTTAACCTTTTAACACCTTTTGAAAGCAAAAATTAACTTTATTTGATATGTTTTTTCCTTGTTAATTAAGGAATGGATAATTCCTTGTGACTCCTAATTTAATCTGTTATTAGACAAAACCTTAGATAATAAAGTACTTGAATGGTTAAGAAATTTTTTTGGTCTCTAATTACTCACCAGATTGCAGCGTTGTTAGGGCAAGATCATAATACATAAATGCAGAGAGAAAGAGGGAACACTAGGTACAAGTGTCACAAACAAGAGACTTGATTTTATTCATCAAAGCTATCTACTATTCATCAAAGCTATCTACCTACATCTAAAAAAAAGTCATATATATATACATACACACGCACCAATAAAAAAAAAAAAATTTCCAAAGCGAGTCCTTTTTAATAGGAATTAATATCCTCCATATGAAATGATAGTTCAATCAAATTGCCCCTACAAATCTGACAGTCAAAACATGCCCAAAAAGGAAATAAATCTTTGACTGTGATTTTGAGGCTCAGAATAAAATAGAATTTAGCAAATGTGTCTGTTCCTTTGAGCAATTCGGTCGTGTTAGATGTTCGTCGTGTTTGACCCTTACAAGGTCGAATTTGTCCCATATAGAGGCTAGACATGCCTCAAGAGCTGCACCACGTACGTACTCTTTCTATATATATTTATTGACACCAATCCTATACATTTATACATTCAACATATACCAAATTGCTTGAAATGACTGCTATGTTTGCATTAACGAGCTAGCTATTTGACATTGTAGCTGAAGCGCTGGGTCTCCCCTTGCTTCCTCCGTACTTAGCCCGAGCATCAAATTTCCAACAAGGAGCGAATTTTGCTGTGGCGGGAGCTACAGCATTGAACCCTGCATTTTTCATCCAAAGAGGATTGGGGAGCTTGCTTTGGACTAACTACTCTTTGAGCACCCAGCTTGCTTGGTTCGAAGAATTGAAGCCTTCCCTTTGCCACACACATCAAGGTTGTATACTCTCGCAGTACTGTCATATTATCATATTTGGATTTAATTATAGTTGTCATTTTTAAGGGGGTTTTTCTAATATTAGTCCCTTGAAATCTTTCCTATTTTGAAATTAGTCCGTCAAGTCACTGAATTCTTTTAGGTCCCTATTTCTTAAATTATTTTGAAAATAGTTCCCAAATCATTGAAATTAATATTAAAGCCCTCTAATTCTTTGTTTATGCTGAAATTAGTCCTCCAATTTAGAGTAGGAAATAGTAACTAGAGGGATTAATTTGAAACAACAATGAATGGGGAAAATAATAGTAGCTTTAATGGAAGTAATTAGGGACTAGTTCATAATAACTTAAGCACTAGGGTACATAATAGCAATTTGAATGATTCGATGAACTAATTTCAAAATATGAAAGGTTTCAAGGGATTACAATATTGAAAAAGTCTCATATATTAATATACAACAGTGATCGACTTACAAAGTAGTGTAAATGTCTCTGTATCGTCCAACAAGAAGTAACTTCCAAACTCTACCGAAATACTCTTTTGAACAGGGCATATTGTCCTATTTTCACTTAAAAAAAAAAGAAAGAAAGAAAGAAAGAAAAAGAAAATACTCTACCGAAATACTTATCAACAATCAGCTTGTTAAATATTGTATATATATAGAGTACACTTGTTTAGTCCCACATTGGGCAGAGTAGTAGAACAATCTTATTCATATTGTACATAAAGTACTATTGTTTAGTCCCATGTTTGGTAGAGTAGTAGAACAATTATATTTACATTATATAAATTGACAATCATATCAATGAAGAAAGATATCATTTTCTCCTGATTTGCTCAGTTTCTAACATGATATTAGAGTCATCCAATCAATCCCCTCCTCAAATCTCAGTCCTACGATCTAACAAACCCCTCGCATAGTAAACACTAGCCGCCGGCTACCTCCAAGCCCCATGCCTACACAACTCAAAGCGTCAATTGATATCACTCGACCCTTGATCCAAAATCGCACCACCGCTCAGCATCGCTCGATGCTCTGTACAACAACGTCGGCCATATCTGCACCATCGCTCGACCCAGTACGAGGGAGAATTGCACTCGCTTGCCCACGGTGCACCAGCGTCGACCGGTCGTCCGCACCACTTCACCATCACTGCACCAGGCAACCATGCCAGCACCATTGGTCGGCCTAGTTCAAGCCAAAACCGCATCCAGTCGCCAACTGTGCGCCCAGTGTTGATCGTTCGTCCGTACAACAGCACCGTCGTAGCACCAGGCGCATCACCTCTGCACTAAGACTTGACCAACAGAGCCAAAACTACACCACCACTTGTCCTACGCCACCGATCCTGAACCAGAAATTACCTCAGACCTGATTCGGCCTGACTGCCCCATACAAACCCAAGTATCACCAAATTCTCTAATCAATTGAACCTATGTCACCAACATGACAACACCGGAGATTCACTTCCATCAGCAATCCATCAACGTCAAACTCGACAATGAGAACTATCGTCTATGGTCTTACTCCCTGTGTAATCCTTCATAGCCATGGGTTGTGGGGCCACATCGATGACACCTCAAAAACCCCAATTCCACCACTCACCACTAGTGATCCCACCAAGTATACGGCTGCCCTCTCCTCTTACAACTCTACTCTTATGGCTTGGACCCTTGCTGAAGATCGTATCATTATAGCAATCATACAGTTCGTCTTACCCGCCATCCATGTTCAGCTTGCGCGGTTGGACTCTGCCATATCCCTTTGGGAGTATCTATAGCGATTCTATACCCGGTCAGATGAGGCTTAGGAATTACAATTGTACTAGAAAATTTCTACTGTCACACAGGGCGA